TGACTTGGATGATAGTGAGAACACCCCCCTAGATAGTATTCAAACGTTTCCTAAGAATCTACGTAATGTACCTCTTATTCTCGATACCTCTTAATCAAATGTTGTATGTCGTACCATTTTCCAACCCAAAGGTACTATTGATTTGTGTAGTCATGCCATTCTCAAGGAAGATCTTGGGAATTGGGATTTGATCGTCCCAACAGTTCAAATTATATATAAAAATTATGTGAATCGGTCTATAAGTATGAGTTCCTTAGAAATTATTCATGATTATGAGCCAATGAAGCCTTTATATCTTATTCCCATGTCCCCAAATGCTAGTTTGTCGATGTCAGCTGAAGCATTTGTACATTATCTTCATGATTTGCATATTGAGATCAATAAACGACTTGAAGCAAATAATGCATCATATAAACTTCAAGATGATTTGTATAAACGACATTTTGAATTTAATATTGGAGATTATGTTATATTGCAAGCTAGTAGTGCTAATCCTTTTAAAATTTTGAAGCATGTCGGTCCAAATGCACATGTCATTGATTTTTTATCACATTTTGGCTACCACTCTACTTTAAATATTGAGGACTTCATTACTTACAAACACCATTTCAATTCCTTTGATGATCATTTTCTATTTAGCTCTGTGGACCCCCAACTTGTCCATGTTAATATTTCTACTTCAATGTCATCTGTTACAGCACACAAAGATACAAATAATGTTATTTTAGATGAACAAATTGTGTTGACCAATGACGGAGAGATTTGGTGCTTCCTTGCTCGTTGGGTAGTTCCACCTGATGCAGACCGTACTGGAGTCCTACAGAGAAGCACCAACAAATCTGAATCAAACTGTTGGAGTTTATATTTGATTCTTACGAAATATCGTCCCCCGTGGCAGTTTATCCACTCGACAGGGACGAATTTTTTCCACCCACCCCAGGAGAACTGATGCGGACATCATCGAGACTTAATTTTATTGTTATCAGGCTTTATCACTTATGTTTTCTATTATTGGGCTTGTAGTAGTTGGTTGACCCAAGCCCGTCACTAGCTAGGTTTTTTTTATTATTTATACGGTTTTGACATTATAATTTAAACAGTTCAAGGATGAATGAAAATTATTAACGTTGGCTTGTTGCCCACTCTTCCTCCCCTGTCTTCCCTCTTTCTCCTCTGCGTCCTCCCTCTCTCTCCTCTGCGTCCTCCCTCTCTTCCTTTTCTCTTCTCTTTCTTGCCGTAATTCTGTTATTCATTTCTTCCTCTAATTCATCCTACTTAAGGTAGTCAACGCACTACATCAAGAATACTATTCTTTGCTAACCAAAATTTTCATTATATAATAATAATAAATGGAACCCAAAATAAAACCAACAACAAGAGAGAATTAAATCTTACCAAATAAACAAAGGTGCTAGAGGAAGAAAGCCCAAAAAATCAATTCATTTTCTCCTCCAAAAAGGGAAATACCATGGCTACCTTATCTTTTGTGTGTTGTGTGCGTGAATGGGTGTGTGTTCTGCTTCCAATTTCAAAAACTAACTCAATGCCATATGGTTTAATTAGGTTCCATCCTATGTAGCAAAATAATATCAGCCAAAAGTAAAATTACAGTTTAAGTTGAGGGATCAAATTGCAATATGGGATGAAAACCTGATTAAACCAAATGGCATGAGCTTTTGATTTTAGATTTGGGGATAAAATACTGGAAAAGCAGTGAAAAAAAAATGAGAGAGGGAAGCAGCCACATGGTGAAGAAAGGAAGGAAAAGAGAAAAGCTTGGGTCCTCTTCTTCAAGCATTGTCTACCACCATTATTATTGTTGCTTTAGCATCCATCCATTGTTAGATCATGTTTATTGTGGTGAGTCAAGATTGTATTCTCGATGTATCGTGATTTTGGGCATAAATTTGAGATAAAAACAATTGTAATCTATATTTTGGCATTGGTAGATTTCATAGGTTTACTGAATCGATTTTCACATTAAATAAATTCGATGATTTCTAGTGATATATTTATTCCGGTATCTATTGCTTGCATTATTTAACGGCTGAGTTGATATTTATTCCGGTATCTATTGCTTGCATTATTTAACGGCTGAGTTGATTGATTCCAATTTTATTTCACTGTTGAGTACATTTTATAGGTGGAGCCAACATTTGAATCAATGATAATTGCAGACTTAATGGAAAATGCTGTATCATTTCAACAAATGCATGCAGAAACTAGGAAGTCAACATATCCCGGAGTTGAGGTACAATATGTAATCCCTTTTAGCTAAACACAAGTATACATTGCACATAGATCATCTGAACAATACAATCTAAAAATAGGCAATTACAGAGATTTCACTTTCAACAATACATCAATTATTACTGTGCTTCAACAATTGTCATCCACCTCAAATGCACCAAAAGAAATTAGCAAAGCCATTTAACTAGAAGAAGAAAAGTTATTCCAATTCTTCCAACTCCAAAAAATCAGATAAGTGAAAAAAAGACCTCTCAAAAAGCGAGGCAGAAAGTATCAAATGGTAGCTATTTCATGAAAACATGTTAATATATATACAAGTACTAATTGCTAAATAGCTAGATGGACAAATAATTTACCAATAAAATCCCCTCAACGCTTGTCCTCATGCCTTCCTTCATGTAACTGCAACTCAAAAATATTCAGAAAAATCCAACTGTCAGGCAAAACACCCTAGATATAATTAACTGTTCGATCTAGGGTTCTACTACATGATTAAACGAACAAAATAAAACCAAAAAATTCAAAGAAAAAAAAGAGACGAACTTGACTTTCATACGGGCTAGTCGATCGGCGACGGAGGTGTCTTTCTCCATCTTGGGCTCTTTGGTGCCGAAAGTGTAGCTCGCAAGAGGATATGTGTTTACTAGCGGTGACGTCACCATTCTCTCTCTGTATCTATATCTCTAACTTCTAGATTAGTATATTTTACTAGGGCAGATTGGTTTGATTAAAGCTTCTCCGAGCCTGTAGAATTTGCAGGTTCTAGAGCGGGAAGGAACGTGTAGCGACGGACGGGACCGCATCACCACCTAATGCGATTTCAGGGGAATATAACGCGACTTCAGTTTAGACTGGACAAATTTGAGTAAACAAACACCGGAGAGGTTGCGAGTTTCACTTCCTCCTGTCTGCATAGTGTCAATCGGGCCGGTCCGAGACGTAGTGGGCCGGTCTAATTTCTTAATTTTCATTCAGTCCATCTGGACTTGTAAATTTTGTTGGGGAAAAATTCACTTTTCCTACTTTATATTTACCCTATTTCAAAAATAACAGAACAACTTTCACATTTTCAAAATCAAATTTTTTAACTTATACATACACATA